GGTAGCAAACGCCTGAAGACTGCCCTGTAAGTTCACTGCCGCTAGTTTGTAGGATCCAAATGGGCTGTCTGTGTGAGCAGATACTGTCTACTTTGAATATGAGAAGAATCCCTTTTTGTAAATAAAATGCAGTGGGATTTTTAGTGTATGTGCAGAGCAACTGAGAATGGTGAGGTGACTCCAGTAGTCAATATATGTGGCAGACGTGATGCCTATGTAGTGTTGTTCAGAACAAAAATCCCCTTTGCTCCTGTTGTAATACTCTTTTACTTTTTCCTTTCTCTAGAGTGAGGCAGAAGTGAATCCCAAAGCTTACCCTCTGGCTGATGCACAGCTCACCAAAACACTACTAGATCTTGTGCAGCAATCCTGCAACTATAAGCAGCTACGCAAGGGAGCCAATGAAGGTGAGACCTGTGTGTTGTGAAGTGTACTAGAAATCATAGCAAAGATTTTGTGAGAAGCTGTGGGTAGAGACTGTCTCTTCTCTCTACTGGTGGGCCACTAACATTACAGAGGTCTGGATATTGTGAGTGTCTTTCTCCTTCCCCCTCCTTCTAGCACGCTTAAGCAATATTCAGAGACAGAAATAAGCTATAATCTTCTCAGCATTTATATACAGTTCTGGTAGATGCCCAAATTGTATTCCTGGTGCATGTCCTGTGATCATGGATACTTTAGTGGTGTGGCAGATGCCTAGCCAGTTTAGAATCATAAAAAGATTTGGCTTTGAGGGGACCTCTGGAGGTCTCTAGTGCAGCCTGCTCAGAGAGTGGCTCCCTTGACAGTTGAATCAGGTTGCTCGGGGCCTTGCCTAGTCAAACTTTTAAAAAAAGCAATCCCTAAGGATGGAAACTCCACAATCTCTCAGGACCCATGTCCCATGGCTTAAACCCGTCGTAACGGGGCGGGGGGGAATGCAGAATTCCAGCATGTCCCCAGAATCTCCCTGAGGCAACAGTCACAAGTCCACAACTTGTCCCTTTTCCTGCGCATTCATGAGGACGGTCTGGCTCCATCTTCTCTGCAGTCCCCTTGAAGTAATAGAAGACAGCAGCTGCATCCCCGCCACTCCCACCTTGGCCCTCTCTTTTCCAGGCTAAACAAACCCAGCTCCCTCGGTCTCCCCTCACCTGTGGTGTGCCCCAGCCCTGCCCGCCAGCAGCCCTGGGCTGGCCTCGCTCCCTTGTGAATCTCCGCTGTGCTCGAGGGCAGCGCTGGGCACAGTACCCCAGGTGCAACCCTGCAGATAACCCCCTCCCTGGCCCTGTCGCTGCCACTTCCCTTTGGCCTGTCCTCATGCTACCACTAGATCTCCTTGCTCATGCCAGTTTCGGCATCTCCTAATGTTGTTTTTCATTAGATGTGCTTTCCAGAAGGACCTAGACTTACTCTTGAGTTTCTTTTACAGCCACCAAAACACTGAACCGAGGGATAGCGGAATTCATTGTGATGGCAGCAGATGCAGAGCCCTTGGAGATCATCCTGCACCTCCCTCTTCTCTGCGAGGACAAGAATGTACCTTACGTGTTCGTGCGCTCCAAGCAAGCCCTGGGCCGGGCGTGTGGTGTTTCCCGGCCTGTCATCGCCTGCTCCATCACCATCAAGGAGGGATCACAGCTAAAGCCTCAGATCCAGTCTGTCCAGCAAGCTATAGAAAGACTGTTGGTCTAAATGCCCATGAGTTTAAGTGTGTGTGGAATAGGAAAGTTGAAGTTGAGGGGAATTAATGTCTAGCTTCAGTTGAGGATATAGTTTAGATATCAGTGTTTCATTTCAAAACACCACATTTTTGTTTAATAATGGTTCAATTTTTAGTGTTTCTGCCTCTCCTCCCCCTTCTTTTTTATTATTTGACTCCAGTACATTCATTCTCATTGTATTACTTCTTGAAAGTGATTGTATAACTATATTTCCTGTTTGATGTTTAAAAGAAAGAAGGAAAAAAAAAAATCCCCCCTTATCTCCATGTTTGCCTGCTCAGGGCTTTTTTAACCCACCCGTTAGCTTACTCTGCATTGCAGTATTTCTGCTAAGCTTCAGCCTCTAACGAGTGTGAGTAACTCTTGTGTTTCTGAATGGTGTAGTCTGCCGAGGATAAGGCATGTTGGTTCCCTGCACAGCGTCTGCACACAGGCTGCTGGAGTTGTTTGAAGTGATGGAGCAGTGCAGACTACCTGTAAGGCAGGCAGCAGCTACTGTGTAGCAGCGGACGGAGCTAACATCAGTACACATAGCACAACCCTTTTTCTTGAAACCAGACAAGAGACTTCTGTAAGAGGTGTACAGGGAGCAGAAATCTTATGGCAGTGCACAGGGGAAAATGTCTTATCTTGCTGATTTTTAAATACTGACTTTTTAAGAAAAATAAAATTGCTGACAAAGCTAAATATAATTGTCATTCCCTTGGGGAAGCATTTGCATCTAACTGAAGTGTTCCTACTTGGAAAGCTAAACTGGTCAGCAATTGCCTAAAGGCTATTGCAGTGTAGTAGTTCATATTCCTTCAGTTTTCTTTGCGTGGACTGTATCAATGAGCTTGGGCTTCCTAGGGTATTTAAGTACAAAATGCATGGTAGAGAACAGCCTGCTGTGGCTGACAAGTACCCTACATATCTCATGCTTTTAGGGAAGCTGCTGTACTGTAGTCACCTGACTAAAGATCAACCCTTTAAGTCACAGCCAAGGCAACAGAGAGCAAGTAATTTTTCAGATAAAACAACTTGTGTCTCAAGAAGAGAATGTTAGATAATCTCATGTTCTGGAAAAGTGTGAAGCACCACCAGCATTCTGGATTAGCAGGATCTGGTTTTGTGCAGCTAGCTTTAGTTAAATGCATATTGTGTAATAAATCTACTTACTGATCTGAGCAGAAGAGTCTAAAAACCTCTGTGTTGGAATGGGTCATATCAAACCTGTCTTCTATTGCAGGATGCCAACCAAAGCAAAGCTAGTATGGAAAGACCAATAGGTAAAACAGCAGAAGGGAAAGTAAGTTCTCCTGTAATGTTTCCACAGAGGCACTAACTTCATACCTTTAGTAAGTGCATCCCAAGCAGATGAAATCAGCTCATGAAACACTGAGGACAAATCATGTCTGTATATTTTTGTAAATGGCTGACAAGTAGTATCCTTGCTGAGGTGAACTTAATACAAAGATTTGAGAGTCCTTTCATTCGTATTAAGTTTAGAAATGCTGCTGTTCCCTTCTACTGATGCTGACTGTTGAGCTAGTTGTGTTTAAAACCACAGCTTTGCAAGGGACTTGCCCTATTGTACCATGCCAAGATAGCTGATGTAAGACAAAGCACATAAGGAGCAGAAATAAAGGATTCTTGAGCAAGCAAAACTGTCTTAATTTTCTGCTCTGAAGCCTGCCATCACCATCCCTGTTGAACTTCTGGTTAATGCAATAGCCTGCTTTAAAAAAACAAAGCCAGGAGGAAGATCTAATAACCTATACGAAACATGCCACGATCATCCAAAGCCTGGAACATACTGTGCCTGGGGGTTAGCAAGCCAAGAGAGAAGTTAACAAGGGCATTCGGGGAATCAAAATTCACAGAATTAAGGACAGGATAGTCTCTATTCTATTGCGTTCAAATCTTGCCAAGACAAGCATTTACAGTAACAACTTTGCCAAAAGGCAAAATAAATTGATTGCTTAGACAAATCTTTATTAAAAATAACTACTATAATGGAGGCTGACTGAAAGTGTAATAGACTACCTAGCTTCAGTACTGCAGAGCTCAACATGGGCTAGCTGCTCGTTCGAGGGGAGCTGTGGAGGTGGAAGTGAGCAGCGTGCTGGCACAGCTAGGGTGGTCACAGTGCCAAGAGCGGTCACAGCTGGTTCTGATACATGTGCCACACTACAGCACAGGCACAACCTTAATATATGACTTAATTCTTCAATAAGTTGCCCAGTAGTTTGTGTGCCAAACACAGGAATCCCTAAAAACACCACACAGACCAAAATGGATACCTCATGTATCCCACGTTTGCATCCCGTAGAAATTTTCAGTTCAGCTAAACAATTACTACCGTTTTCTAGAGCAAGGGTAATGACTATTGGGTTTAATCATCTTGCACTGCAACACAAGTGGGCCATGCCAGGTGTGGAAGTTTAAAAACCAAAACATAGATGGCCTCAGATGCAGCCTCTGTAAGTATGATTAAAAAAATAAAAATACTGGAAGTAACAAAGGCTACTCTCCACAACTTGGTATTTTTTTATTTTTAAAGCACAGATTTGAGTACAGAAGCCTGCACAGTAGTCTGACTCATACTTGCTACAGAGGTGGAAAAGCTCTATGCCATCTAGTAATTTAATTGGGGTAAGTGTTTGCAGCCTTCCAGGGAACGTGACTTTCCCCCCGCCCCCCCCCACCTTTTTAAACCAGCTTTTGCTATTACCATTTCAAAATGGAAGACGTGGCTGTGCAGCTTTGTGAAATGTTGGCTTTTTGCCCAAAGGAGTGGCTACTGATTCCCAGTAATGATTTTCTCCTTTACAATCTGCTGGTAATCTTTATAATGGGAAAAGAACCCAATTAGATTGCAAGTACTGATACTGACTGGCTGTTTTGGAGAGTGGGAGAGTAACAGAACACATTTATACTCTCTGTTAGCACACAGACTTGACCTGCTGCTTGAATTCATGTGGTACCATTAACACCGATCATTCTGTTTTCTTACTCCCATTGAAGCGAGTTTTGCTGTCTTTATGACGCAAAGATGGTATAGCCAGTGTTGCAAAGTAAGAAGTCCAAAATAACTTTTATGAAGAAACCAGGAAGGCACAATTGTGTTTACTTGCAGTGGGTGACCTGAGTTAGCAGAGAATTTAATTCTGCCCTTGGCTACTGTGAACAGAATCCAACTTTGCAGAGATGTTTCACAAGTAAGAGTAAAAAGTTTCTCCACTGCTTAGATTCAGCAACATTTAGTCACCTTCTCTTCCAGGGCAAGATTAAACAGACACAGCATCCACATAAGACAACCAAAACTTTAAGTAGATGGTGTCAACCAGGGCTGACTGCTCCTGCTTAGTGCTCATTAAAGTATTCAGTTATCGCATCCATGAGCTCCTGCTTCTTCCCCCCACCCTTCAGCCCGTAAAGCCTGCATGCGTCCTTCAGAACAGGTACAGTGAGCTTGCCTAAAGTGCCCTTCTGTACGTGACTCCTCAGCTCATCTTTGGAGAATTCTACCTTGGGTCTCTTCTCAGTTTGACCATCAGAAGCTAGAAAGATAAATTTTAGATCACAAAGATTTAAAAAATTTCTTAATAGAAAGACATCAATGTTTCTTATACATACCACACTTAATGGCTGTTAGCACATGGTACTTTAACAGCTACGTACACACTCACGGACCTAGTTTCCATATTTTGTTTTATGAAGTAGGTGTCAGTACATAAGTCATATACTATATTTCATTGATATGAATGATCTCAAACTCACATATGAAACTTTGTGTTCTGATGGAAAGATCAACCCCAAATGAAACTTTTAAGGGATTCTCATCTAGACAGGAGAATGCAACTATTCCACAGGGAGTTCAGCTAACTGACATTCCCACTTTATGCAGTTTCATAGACTCTGAACTACACACATACCTCAGCGTTACTTAGACCTTTAGCCCTAAAAATGCCTATCGTGGACTTGCTAAACAGCCCATGCTTAAAAGTCTGCTTCCTCACCAAGAACACAAACTGGAAGCATGAACGTTTTTACTACTCTGTTGTAAAAAAACCCAAAGTTATTAATAATGCTAAAAATAATAATAAATATATATTTTGCAGTAATTTACCTACATTGCTTCCCATGCTTCTCTGTTTTTTCACTATGGAGCTTCTCATTCCAGCAGTTCTCTAGCTGGATACCACAATATCCTCTACTCTCTAAGAATCACCACTGAATATAAATCCACTTTGTGGTGGAGATGAGTAGAGTTCTTGCACAAGCAGCTTCTTTAAATTATGAGACCAACTGAAAACGGAGAAGCCTCTAAACAAAGAACACAGACACCACGCTGCATGTCTGCACCGTCATTACTTACCTTGTTTTCGCTTTACAGCCTTCCCATCAGGATCATAGTCAGGGGGATAAACCAGCTGCTTAAACTCCTCCACCAGGTTGCCCACCCTGCAGTTCATCTTTTCAGCCTTTGGCACTGGCAAGAGAGAGATCTGCCCTCACAAAAACTGAGTGATCACAGGAAAGTCTAAACAAGGCCATCACCAGATACAATTGTGCTTCTGTAATAGCTAGCATGCAAGTGTCTTTCAAGTACGCAAAATGCAAAGACCTGTGTTATGATATTCACAAATGAGAAATTTACAGCTCTTGGTAATGTCAAAAGTTTGTATTTTACATACCTAATGGACTCACACATACCTTGAACAGAATGTATATATGCAGAACAAAACTGACACGGTGGAAGTGATATAGATCTCCTACCTGGTTGCACTGTTACCCAAGTCTAATCTCAGATGTTTAAAATACAACAGGTTACTGTCTAAGGTTGCGAGTAGTTTGAGGCAGAACAGCTTGTTTCTGTCATGTGCCTGTATGATATCTAGCACAGGGACCTAGATTATTTGTTACGTATCACTTCAGAAGAGACAAATAGTTACTCTAACCCTAGTCCTGGAGTACAACATAATTTTAAAAAAGGAACTTCCCCTTTAGGTAGGTTTCCATCCTTTGACAAGATATTGTTCTATAGAAACTCTCAGAGCCACAAGGTGGCATCATTGCCTCCTAGCAGAATAGTCTCTAATTCTGCCCATTTATCAGACTGAAATATTAATTAGACTCTTGAAGAGAGGAATTTCAGAGAAAACATTTGTCACCATAGAAAAAAGGTGATTCAATTTTAATTTTGGTGGGTAAAGTGATCAATTTTCCCTTTATCTTAAAAGTGACAGCATTAGGAAGTAAGGTTTCAGTATTTCAGAATGGACACATCCAGAATTCTACATCTTAGAACTGCACAAAACTAAAATATTTTTTAAAAGACATTCGTTTTTTTAGTAGCACATCTCTAACTTAGAACAAAGTCAAGAGCCCTCTACCCCACCTCCCTTCACACCCACCAATAATTCTCACTTGTAAGATCCTCAGCTTGTTCCGGTTCCATCATATCCAGCGCTAAAGCCTCCAGATTCCTGAAATGCTGCTGCAAAACTGGGTTCTCAAAGCTGTCAGGCCTGTCAAGAATCCCCCAAAATGTCAATGCATGCTGCCAAGACAGACAAGACGCATAAGATCTGCCACCAATCTATTTCAAAGTAAAACTCCCCTCTTTCCCACATAACAATCCATCTCATCGGAAGAACTGCTTTTCTTCTTTCCAATTTACCTGCTGAATCACTGTTCCGTCATGCATCAACCACATTAGAAAGTTGTGTCAGACTAGGAAAGCTGTGCGAGACAAACGGAGGCAGTGGCATTCTACTTTAATATCAGTTATGCTACTTTCCACATACCTAGAAAAAAATGTCCTATAAAAGCACTTGATAATATTTATCCTATCTATAATAAAAAAGACCTAACTAGTCTCTGAAGTGCTCCAATTTAAACAATCCAGGTCTGATCTGCAATAGCTTGGCAGAACCACAATAAAATGTGATACCTCTGCAACAAATGACAACAGCCCAGAGAACAAGAGCAATTCTATAAAGAACTCCAGAACGTGCTACATAGTGTACGTGGTGCTTGGGTATTCAGAATAATTAAGAATAAATTTTGGACAAAGCTTCCGCAAAGGGAAGCAATTTGCATCAAAATGCATCAAAATCCCATCTTGTGGACAGCACAGCTGAAGAGCATATGCAGCAGAGCAAGCAATAGTGTTGTGTTTTCTTCCCCGTGCCACCCTCTCACACGCACACTATTTATCTCCATGTACCTGTATCTGAATCGGAGTTTTTGAATTATTTCCTTCATTTTGTCCACCTGCTCTCGACTAGCTGGCACCTTTTCTGTAAAATCAACATTCCGTTTGTCATCTGCGTATGGTAGGAAAATCATGTGGAAACCTACACAGGAGAGAGAGAGCAGACAACAGTTATGCAGAACCATCACCTCAAAACAATAATTTATGGGAAAGACCAAGATGCTTATTAGCTAGGTCTGATGACTCCCCAAACTAGCTACTATTTTGCTGTAAACAACAGCAATCCATAATACCTCCTAGTACCCACAGCATGACACTCAATCCCAATCTCAATGTATATAACCAACATCACTAATGGCTTTTTGAAAGATTCAAACTAAATGCATAGCTAAGAGCTGGAAACTTGTCGCCGGCTTTTTATACAGGAGATCAGCTTGTGCACCTTCCCCATCTCTCACCAGATATGAGCCTGAAAAAAAGCTTGTTTGAAAATTAAGTTAATGCCAACATTTAATTTCTGAAATGCTTTACATTGTACACAAGCAGCATTATTCCCCTACTTTACATCCTTCCTGGAAGAGGATTTTCCAGTTAAAGAGGTGAGAAAACGGAAAAGAGCAAGAGTCTGCCTTTGCTCCCTATTCATTCCCCATTCAGCTGCTAATGTGCGAGGCTCAGTAGGTGAGATTATTTATTTAAGGCTTTAAAATGTATCCAAGGATACAATAAAATAAAGGAAAGACATTCTGTCTAGCCAGCAAACAGAAAATAAGGGCTTTTAATTTTTAGGTCAGTTACTTGAATCTGCTAAAAAAAAGGTAGGAGGCAGGAAAAAACTGTACCCATGTTACACCTCTGCAAGCACTGATGCAACTGGAGTTTTAAAAATAGATTCAACATCAGATGCTTACAATAACAAAACTGAAGAAAAGGGATGTTGGAAAGCACTCTCCCCAGTTTTAAGGGGAGCAGCACCAAGAATATTTTTACACAATCCAGGAGTCTATTACGCTGACTGCATCCAATCGTGCAGGGAAAGGCAGCATCTCTTCCTGTACCTGGAGGGGCTATCTGCACTTTCTGCTCATCCACCTCTTCCTCCTGGGGAACCAGGGCCACGAAGCGAGGGGGAGTGTTCCGGCGGGCAGTGTATCGGCACAGAGCCATCACCTCCTTCTCCAAGCATTTCATAAGTAAGGCATTAAATAGCGTTGTACTCCCTGCAAAGTAAAGACTGTATTGGTCAGATTTACAGCTTTGCTCCCTTGTTCAGGAATGTAACCCTAGATATTACAGTTTCAATACCTCTGACTTCTTCGAGATGCTTGCAATATTCCAGAGGTAAAAAGCAACTTTTGGAAGGGGGAGCCCTCAAAAATGACAATGTTAGTGTCTCTCCTGACCAGAGCAGTGAGAGTTCTGGTGAAAGAAATTAAATCACTAGCATATGAGCAATGAAATATAGTTGAAAATTGAAAATAGGTATCTACAAAGCCTCTTTCTGGTCTGGTGGGACATCATAGTAGCAGCACACCATAGGACCTTTTATAGAAGTAGCACATGAAGAATTCAGATTGCAATATTCCTCTCTTGAGGCCCATGTTTGCTTTGTATTTTACCAGATATGGTGGTCAGGAAAAGACTGACATATAAGCAAGGTGCTTGATTCAGGAAACTGCTAAGCTGGAGAAGCTAGCGTAAAGGTTCTTTAGTCAAACACTGCAAAGCATCTGTTCATGACTCAGTCCTCTTTATCCACTGGTAGATTGAGAAACTGGAGTTTTTTTCTTTACTATTGCAGCTTGGGATACATTAATACTGTATTTCTAGGTAAGCAGACTTACATATACACATAAAAAGGGGGAAAACAGAAATCCTAAGCATCCTTTCCTCCTCTCTTTACAAGCCCGTGAAGTGCTGTTAATTCAGTCATACTTCCTGAGTATTGTGTTTCCACTCCTACCTGATATGGACTTAAAAACAGCAATTATCTTCACTGGTTTGGGGGTTAGTTTTTGTTCGGGGTTTTTTTTAACCACCTTTGCCTTCTTGTCAAGTACTAGGGTCCTTCACTTTCATGAATGACAAAACCAAATGTTTTGGGACTACACCTGCATAGTTTGATTAACTGTTTGTTATGATGGATGAAACATGAAGCCCAATCTGCTATTGAAGAAAACAAGAATTAACTGCAGCTGGAGGGGCAGTAAGAGTTAATTCTATACTTTTTAACATTAGCAAGATTAAGTTTTTCTTTAAGATTTTACACTCAGTGATCCCCACTCAAACACACTATACATCAGCTGGCTACCCTAATACAAGGTGGTGAATCTTCTCTTGCCATCTTTACTTACCATTTACTAGGGACTCCTCAGGATGTATGAACTGGGAAGGCTTGATATGGTGGTGATGTTTTAGCATTGAAAGTGGTTTGAAGCCAATCAGAAACAAGCCTGGAGAATCAAACCGTTTCAATTCTTCTGTTTCCTCTTTCTCCATCACAATCTGCCGTTTTCCATATGTCTAAACCAGGGAAGAGCAGATAGTAGTGCTGCCAGCATAAAAAAAAAAGGG